AGGGTTTAAAAAACAAACAAACAATAAAAAAAAATCCCAAACACTCATACATACACACTGGTGAGCAGCTATGACTCCATTTGCATGCACGATCTCATAAATATATCTGCATTGCTTTCACCTCTGTTTTTACATACTCTTATTTCTGCAGTATTTGGATCAAGTTTAATTAGTCTCATTGATTGGCAGCAAACAGCCCTTGCCAGATAACCTTTATCAGTCTCTTATCTTTGCAAATCACCAATTTGAAAAAGACAAATCCATAATAATCAGGATTTAATGGAGGATCAAGTGGACAAACACTTTGCAGCTGGGAAGAGGGGTTGGGGTGTGGGGTATGCTCAAAGGGCTGCAAGGAACCTGCACCTGTGTTTTAGGATCAGGCTGCATGCAGGAAAATACCACCACAACCCCCCACCCGCTCCTCTCTCCTCAAGCGTTTCAAACCTCCAGCATAACTGTTTCTCTCTGCTCCAGTTTCCCTCGGACTAGCAGCGTCTGAGCGAAGCAGCAGAGTGGCCGGGAGAAAGCCAGCAGAAATGCAGAGCTGACACAAGCCTTTCCTAATGAGCTTCTGATTGCACCTTCTATTGACACTGATGCTGCTTGCACTGAGCCGCTGGCCAGAACTGTCACATTACATCATCCCTCGGTGCATCCAGCAAGAAACTGACCCCTGTAAATCCTCTCATTTTACTATCACAGGCCAGACCTGCCCACTCCAGATGGCCACTGAGAGGCAGCACATTTTACATTGATGTAGCAGAAGAACATGAAAGAGTGACACCCCGGTGTGAAAAGAATGGCTTTAGAGGTGCCGGATGCCGGCCTCATCTTAAACGCAGCTGGTGTACACGCTGCCTTGCTGAGGTATTACGGCCAGTTAACACAACGGCTTTACATGTCACTGGATTATTATAATGCTTCAATTTTGTGTGTGTGTGTGTGTGTGCGCACGCCTCTGTGTGCATGTGTGTGACAATCAGCTACATTACTATTATAGGAACAAAAGCATTGGGTGATGCCTATATGCTCGGGGCGCTGTGTGATTTCCTTTAATCGTCTGTGATTTAGTCTGTTATAAAATGTGTTAAGCAGAAACTATATGGTAGAAACCAAGGAGAGACGAAGATGCCTGTGAGACTAATGTAAAAAAAAAAGATTACAAGGTCCTTGGTCTTGGCAGAAACATTTATTCTTCACACTTTGTAATGAAGAGATTACATACTTGTATACTAGAAGAAGACTGACTGATTCATTTTTGCTCAATCTTTCCTGGAGACCGCAGTTTTAAGAAAAAGGTTTCTGCAGCACGATTAATCATAAACCACACAGACGATGTGGACAAATGCAGATGAGTAATTCTTGCTTCACTATCAGGTGATTTCCTCAGATCATCACATGCTAGGCTTCCTCATCGCCGGATCAAAAGTTCAACTGTGAGATTCTCGGGACAGAACAGTTGCACGGTCTGTGATTTTGGGTCATAAATTCCTCAGAGAAAAAATGGTTTCTGTACATCTTTAGGTGATGTTTCAGTCTTTTGACACAAACTACATTCATCAACACCCGGCCGGTTGCGCGTTGGGCGTGGATGAACTGTGTAAGAAACCTGATCTATTGCAGTATTTCTGAGTCAGACAGGGATTAGTAAACATCATATGCTCGAAGTGACCTTCCGGACGCCTTCTGCACTCCTGCAGCATAACAATTAGGCCATCATAGCGTTGCTGGGCTCTTCTTTTCAGAGGTGTCAGACTTAGAATCAAGACTGGGCATCACTTTCTCGTGTCGATGTAATCAACAAATCGACACGAGAAAGTAATTTCTTATCCACAAACGCAAAGAATTAGCTTGCTGCTATTCTTTGTCTTGTGATGCTAAACTGAACAGCTTTGATTCTAATGGATTCTAATGGCATCACAACAAACTTTGTGCTCTGCATTTTTGCCATTTGCTGACAATATTAATTCAAATAGTTAATCTATTCTTTGGGCTTTGCTAGACTACTCAGCAATAATAATAATAGCAGCAGCTGAGTATTAAAAAAAGAACGACGAAACCTGAAAAAGATTAAAAATACATTTCGGACTTTGATGAAGCGTCCCTGTATATATTTGTGCAATTTTTGTGCTGGACTGATCAGGGAAGTATTTCTGCTTTGTTTACCTGAAACAACATTTCTAATGGATATTATTGTCTATACAATATATTAGAGACAGTTTTATTCCACAGACTCAGTTGTAGGTATAATATCTATGTAAGGAAGCTATAGTAAATTGAATATGCCACTGGGCTGACCTCATGTGAACGTGGAGTATTTTTAGTGTTTAAATTCAACTTGTATTGCAGCCAGAGGTTTCATACACAATTACAGCAGAACGGTGTTAACCTGTGAGAGTCCCTTTAGCATTCATTGATAAAACAAACTGTCTAAGATCTATGTTTCATGTGCACGATTGGCATTTAAAAAGAGGGGGTGGTGCGCACAGCAGGACTGTCTTTGGTAATAAGGTGTGGGCATGAATTCAGAAAACTCTATTAAGGGCTGATATGGGAGGCTCAGATAATTTGTGGAATTACTGCCACAGTCTGAAACAATGCGGATGCAGGAGGCTTGCAAATTGGCCTGTTCATTCACACAGACGGAGGGACTTGAATGTGCAAACCCTCGTTGCAGATTCTCTCTCTCGTACTGAGCAGAGATGGACTGCAATCCAACAAGAATTATGCACACTGTTTAATTCCAGACATGGACCGAACTAGACAGAGTGTGTACAGGCCGCTAGACAAATAATTAGCTCTGCTGCTCAACAGAGCCGATCAGGCCAAATTTCAGGGAGAAACATTTGTGAATGGATAACTGTTTTTGACTGTGGATGATGAATCACTGTTCAGCACCTGACAGGGTTTAAAAAACAAACAAACAATAAAAAAAACCCCCAAACACTCATACATACACACTGGTGAGCAGCTATGACTCCATTTGCATGCACGATCTCATAAATGTATGCAAGGAAAGCTTATCTCAATAAAACAGCTGCCTTTTTAATTTCCTGCTTTAAAAATTCTGCACAAAAAATGAACGACAAGCTATATATTCGGTTTATGAATATAAAATTAGATAGGGCTCAACGGCGCTCTGTGGAAATGATGAAAATGTGTGCATTATTCTTATATTTGTCTCCACAGCCATTAGAAAAACCGATGCTTTTTTCTGTTTGTTTTTGATATTTTACACAGATCGGCGGTGCAAAGTTTTTACCCTTGGAATAAAAATGATAAATTGCTGTCACAGCTGTAATTCACAAGTCATTTTACATCATGGGCCGCATACAGCCCACTTTAATCTTATGTGGCCCCGACCAGCGACACTGAAGTCATCCAGTGGGCCGGATTGGAGTCTTTGCTGGGCAGGTTCTGGTCCCCGGGGCTTATGTTTGACATTCCTGGTTTATACACTTGATATTTTTCTCCCATAAACTCCAGTTGTTCATCCTTGACCTGCGTAAATGCTGAATGACGATAAGACTGAGAGAGGAATGCAGACTTTATCATAACAACCTGACCCACACCGTTAATCCTAAGTAAAAGCTGCAAACACTGTCTGGGGATTCGGTTTTTAGAAAACAAGCAGTTTCTCGCTGCTCTTTTATGTCTTGGCTTCTTCTGCCTGGTTGTTGAACTTTGCTACATGTCCTGCGGCGTTGTCATGTATGCACAGCTGCGGGGGTTTCATGCCGCTCTCGCTTTTGTCCCATCTTGTCACAATAGCTGCAGCAAAAAAAACCAAAACGATGCATGCAGAAGTAAAAAAGTGTCAGCCTCAAATTACTTAGCAGCCTTCATATTTTGATGATAATGAGACTTGCATGGGGAATTGTTTTGTGTTTTGACAGCTTTTTATTGCTGCCACAAGCAAGCACCTTGGAGTCAATCAAAACTGAACCTCCAGTAAGTTGGTAAAATATATATCTAACCAGTCAAGCTGTAAATTTTCAGCATTTTTGCACAGTTGGCTTGAAGGTTTTTCTAGATCACCTCCAGCCCCAGCTGCTTCTTAGCGCTCTCTGACTTCATTACTCTGACCACACACGTTGACTTTAAAGTTCCTCCAGCCAAGCTAGCTGCACCTACAAATCCCACCATGTGCACAACATTTCAATACTCCACTTCTCTCTTTTCTTTTTTTTACTATTTCAATCAAATACGGCCAACATTATATGTAGAAATTTTTCTGAGATGTAAAGTAAATTTGACTTTTCTGCATAAACTGGCTCTCCTGTCTACGTTTCAAACCATTACGGCGGGTCAGCTATTCCATAAACCTTTGGTTTA